CGCCCTAGGAAGTAGAAGTTGTAAGGTACAGCAAAGCAGGCCTGGCTGTGAGTTCCCTGAGCGTGTGTCCAATTTATTTCCTGGTTGTCAGCATTTACAAAAGAAACTTGTATACTCTGGGCCTGGAGATCAGGCTAGAGTGCTTTTTGTAAATCTTCCTGAAGAAGTTAAAGCAAGCAGCCGGGCATGTAAAGGATTTCCTGGAGAAATTGAAAGCGTTTTAGGACTTAAAGGAATTTGTTCAGATGTTGAGACTGGATTTTGAAGGAAGGGAATTTAAGCTAGGGGCCCAGAGATCCAAAAGATTTTCTGGAGAATCAGAGTCAGAGAGTTGGAGGTAAAGAAGACTATAGCTGGGTGAGGAAAAAAGTTGTAGATATAAAAGTCCAAATCTTTGAAGATTTACTCATTTTAATGTGACTCTAGACCAATCAGCCTTTTGTTGCTTAAGCATAGATGGGAAAGGCTTCCTCACAAAGGCTACAAAAGATGAAGTCCCCCTCAAGATCCAGTTTCTCCCAAAGATGCCCTAGGAAAGCAGAGACCTTTCTTGCTATTCAGGCAGTAAGAATCGTGTTTATGAAAATGGCCTTTCAAGTCTCCCACAGAATGTGAAACACCTCCCGTCACAAACCTGCTAATCTGCGACAGCAGGCATGTCCTACCAGGATGGACTTACCCAGCACTAACTAAGCAGTGAAGTTGGAGACTCGAAAGTCCCCTTATTAAAACAGTTCCTCTGAGAGCTGGCACAGTCAGACAAAGGGAATACTGCTTGTCACTTGGTTCCCACCTTATTCAACCAGCCACCTTATGCAAGTTGACACTTGTGCCCTCCAACTGGCAGAGACCAGCTGGTCCCAAAAGCTGGTCTCACTGGTCCCAAAAGCCAAGTGCTCAGGACAATAAGATGAAGTAAGAACCTTATCCTTTTGTTTTTTTTATTGGGCACCCACAGCAAAATTTGTCTAAACAGAGACACGTCTGATGAGAACTGGAGTCACCAGTCTGTGAGGCTGGCTGGAACAACAGGCTTATAAGACCTGTATCTTTTCTCCCCTATGATTCTCTGTCTCATGACAAATGATGCAAAAGACAAGGGAAAACAATGACTATCTCTGGAATCTAAAGATCAATAACCAGAAAGTACCCAAAACCAAATCCGCCAGAGTCACAATTCAAAGAGTTTTTACAAATTTCTCTCTCCTGCCAATCTGAATTTGGAAGGAAAAGGACAAGGAAAAATTTTACCTTCCTCTATTGACTGGATACTACAAATGGGTATCTAGGAGAGCTGATTTTGATAAGAATGCTTACCTTTTCCCAGCTTCTATCAGTTTTCCTAGGATCCCATCTTCAGGCTCTGGAGTGAGTGGGGTGTCCCAGAAAGTCCCATGTGGGTTGCCAGAAACTATTGAGAAGGAAAAAAAATTTTGTCAACCTTCATGAGTTCTTATTTGGGATGGACTGCTATAACAAAATAGACAGATTAATGAGAAAAACAAACAAGTGTATTAACCCATGCTGCACACATCACCCAGAAGATACCTCAGTGCAGAGTAACTCAAAACAGTGGCTTAGAACGCTGGCTCACATAGCATCTGCAAAACAAAGAATAATAAATTCATAGATAAATGACAGGACAAAGGAAGGCAGTTTCAGGCTTCAAAAGTGGGAAACTGCAGATTGCCCTGGTACCATCTCTGGGCTAATAAAAGTCTAGAGTTGTCTCCAGTAAAGGATAAGTTACATCCTGCCTTTGGGTAGGAAATGGGAAAGATAGATCTTTTCCCTCCATGTGCTGTTTCTTACTCCCTTTAGCTCAAAACTAATTTTATGGCAAGTTAAGCATATTTTGGGGCAACATGTTCCTATTTCCCTTAGTACTAAATACTATTTAATTTGATTATTAAGGGCCAGGTGCAGTGGCTCACGCTTGTAATCGTAGCTCTGGGAGACTGAAGCAGGAGGATAGATTGAGGAGTCAGGAGTTCGAGACCAGCCCGAGCAAGACGACCCCGTCTCTACAAAAAAAATATATTTATATATATAGAAAAATTAGCCAGGTGTGGTAGCCACACACCTCTAGTCCCAGCTACTCAGGAGGCTGAGGCAGGAGGGTCACTGAGCCCAAGAGTTTGAGAGGTTGCAGTGAGCTATGATGGTGCCACTGCACTCCAGCCCAGGCAACAGGGCAAGACCCTGTTTGAAAAAGAAATGGGTAGTGCCATCATGACAGTCACGCTAGATCACCAAAAACAATACCATTACTGGAGGTAGATCTTTCTAGAAACTCACCATTTTTATTTCTAGAATCTTTTTTATTCTGGAAAGTGAAAAACCAGTGCAGCTCACCTTATTTCCCTTCTCCCAGAAATTACAGTCCTGCAGTGCTGTTACCCAGTGTGCGAAAATAGTTTTTTCATATATTTTGTCTTGTTCTCTAATTGTGTAAAGAATGAAGATAAATCCATCCCTTTAATTCCACATGGCCACAAGTGAAAGCACATTATACATTTTAAAGCAAAGATGAATTCTGTTACATTTTTTGATTGCTTGTTTTTAAAATAATGGTTTAGAGCCATAAGAAAACTGAGTAACGATTTAGAAATTTTCAACAGTTAAAACAAATACCCTCAACATCATTAGAAAGTAAACCATCTCCCAACTTAGCATGTTAATCATAGAAATCTGAAAAGATTTTTCTGCATTTTGCATTTTGTTCTATGCCTTTGTTACCTAAAATGTTTTCAAACCACAGCTCTTTAAAATCGTATCTGATTCAATGGGGTGAAAATCTTAAGCATCTAGCATATCTTTATTCAGTTGATGCTAACTCAGGCATGTATTCCTTAAATCTTTTGTCTTGTTAGTACTCTAATGAAGTTAATCTTCCATGTTTTAGCACTCATTTTTTTTTTTTTTTGAGACAGAGTCTCGCTGTGTTGCCCAGGCTAGAGTGAGTGCCGTGCGTCACCTAGCTCACAGCAACCTCAAACTCCTGGCTCAAGCAATCCTTCTGCCTCAGGCCTCCCAAGTAGCTGGGACTACAGCGATGCACCACCATGCGGCTAATTTTTTCTATATATATTACTTGGCCAATTAATTTCTTTCTATTCATAGTAGAGACAGGGTCTCACTCTTGCTCAGGCTGGTTTTGAACTCCTGACCTTGAGCAATCCGCCCGCCTCGGTCTCCCAGAGAGCTAGGATTACAGGCGTTTCAATGTTATTATTCCCACTTCTATTAATAGTTGATTGCAAAAAATTTTTATTTAGATTCCTTAGAGACAGCTGTGAGAGGGTTGTACTATTGTTGCTTATTATTTTCATGTTTTGCAGCTGGTATATACATTTTACTAGTCATAGGTTTTTCATTAATGGTTTTACTTTGTTTTTCAATCTGTATAAGTATTTTATAAATAAAAATGTTAGAAACCACTTAAGGCTGACCTCTAACACTACCCCGGGGACTATTGTGGCCCAGTCATAAAAATTACGAAAATTTTTATTGTAACTTATCTCAAATATTATATAACTAGCTGCTGTTATTTTATAAGGGAATGGTGGAACGATCATGGGGTTTATGATCTAGGTTTAAATTATTGGCTTGCTACTGTAAGCTTAACTGGCAGGTTTAAGTAAACATGTAGAGTCACGAAATGACATTGGCCACAGCCTACGCCTCCCAATCAATTATATTTTTCAAGGTGTTTTTAGGGAGATACAAACAAAAGGAAATTTTCTCTTAGTGTATAACCATATTTCTAAATTTATACAATTTACCATTGAATGTTTATATTTAATCATTAAAAGATGATTACATTAATTCATGAGTAATTGATAAACATCTACTCTCTTTTGTGCACAATTCTAGGTGCTAGAAATACTGAGAAGTAGTAGACAAAATTCCTTACTTTTATGGAGCTTACATTTTATTTGAGGGAGTCGGACAATAAACAAAATATTTAATAAGATTAAATGAGGCAACATCTGTAAAGTGTTTAGCATAGTGCCTAGCCAAGAAGCTCAAAATCATTTCTCAGCCATTATAAAAAGTTTATAGAAATTGAAATATTTGACCATTCTGTATATGACTATGCCTCAGTCAACTTTCCTAGTTCAGTAATCATTATTGGATTTTTAAAAAAATTTTTAGTAATCACTGTTTTAACACATAAGATTTTTATGGCCAGCACCCATTGCCGTAGCATGCTCTTTAAGGCCTTTCTATAAACTACCCAGTCATAGTCTGCATAGTTCTTTTGTCAATGATGATATCATCAGAGATGTTCCACATTTAAAATATTTAGCTTGCCTCTTATTTAATTTGCTTGTATTTTTACTTTTTTCCAGCCAATTTAAGGTATGGGTTTTTATTATTATTAAGTAATGGGTGTTTCCAGATACAACATGATTGAATTTGTTAATTTTATCAATTTTTATTTGTTTTTTATTTTTGCCTTTTGATGTTAATTTAGCAAAATCTGATTCCTGATGGAATTTCTTTTCATGATTATATGGTATAAAGAAAATTCAATTAATTTTTTCACCAAGCCCAATATAAAGGTTCCTCAAATCCCCTCCAAAAGATACATATTAACTGAATTTTTTCCATGCATTGGGCAGTATATTGTATTGGGTGCCTTAAATGTATTTTTTTAATCCTTAAAGTAATCACCTTATTAAATACGTTGTAGCAAAGCTGAGTACATTAAAGAAAGTGCCCAACTATATTTTAATGCACCCCATAACCAGACTGGCATACATGGGAGGGAACAGGTAGGTGGTTCATTCCTTTGGAACCCCTAGAATATGAGGTCAACTCAGAGCTAGGATGCATCTTTACTTGGCACTGAAAGCTATTAATTACTCTAACAATCCAAGGTGCCTCTAATCTAGAGCAATTTTATATAGATAATCTTTATTTTTAGGATTACCTGTTAAAGAATTATTTCCTCGTGATCATAGTTTTTCATTCACTTCATACTTCAATTTTAGATTACAAAACTCTTAGAAGAATTGAAAAAAGCCAAGGAAAACCATACTCCAGAGATGAAACATTTCATGGACCTAGAAAAGAAAATTGAACAGATGGAAATGAGACACGAGCAAAGAGAACAGGAGCTTCAACAGGTACAGTATTAAATCACATTTATATATTTATATAATTTAACTTTTAAGTGCCTTAATTTGCTGTAGTTTTGTCATAGCAAATTTATTTCTTAAAGTGTTTCCATTGTATTTTGATCTTGTTAAATTTATAGCTTTATAAGAGAAAATATTTAAAATATTAATTTTTAAAATTTTTTAAAAATTTTTTAAATATTTTTAAATCTCAAATACTTGAAGATTGGTTACCCTTAAATCTAGAAGAAATTTTTGTCATATTCTTAATTATTGCTGGGTGCCTAAAAAGTTATATATCTTACTCTGGGAACAGAGCTTTGGGAATAATGTTTCATATCTAAGTCACTTCAGTAAGTATTTATAAGAAATTTATATTAAAATGTCATCTAATACATACCTAGCACTAATATTATACTTAATTACAAACAGATAAATTAATAGAAATTAAAAGGAGATGTAAGGACATGATGTGTTTTTAGGCACTTACCTTGGTGTTGAGGCTTGGGCAGCCGTAACAAAATGTCATAGCTTGGGTGGCTAAAACAACAGAAGTTTTCTCATAATTCTGGAGGCTAGAAGTCCAAAATCAAAAGCTCTGGTCAATTTGATTTCTGGTGAGGGCTTTCTTCCTGGCTTGCAGATGGCCACATTCTCTCTAATTCTCATGCAGCCTTTCCTCAGTACAAGTGCTCATCAGAGAAGAGGGAGTGAGGGGGAGAGATCTCTCTGGTGTCTCTTCTTATGAGGATACTAATCCTACCAGATCAGGGCCCCACCCTTATGCCTTCATGACCTCATTCAGAGTTAATTATTTCTTTACTCCACATACAGCCATACGGAGGGTTAGGGCTTCAACATATGAATGGGGGGGAGGGCGGAGGCACAAACATTCAGTCCATAACAAACAGTTGGATTCATATACTCTCTGAAGACAGAAAATACTACATACATGCAGACCTTTATGGTTGACCCGAGTTCCCCAAAGCAGCCCCAGGTTTGCCTCCTCGGTATTGTCCCACTGTAGCTCTTTGAGATTAAATGTTCTTTACCCCCACTACAAACTTTAACAGCACTGTGGAATTTTTGTATCTGCAGATAATACAGCAAACACAACTAGTAGTAGAAACCGAACAAAACAAAGAAATTGAGAAGTGGAAAAGACTCGCACAGTTAAAGAATCGTGAGGTGGACAAGTTTCGCACGGAATTAGACTCAATATTAGATGTTCTGCGAGAGCTGCACCGGCAGGGGGTGGTTGTGCCAGTTGCTTTTGCAGATGAACTGAACGCACCGGAGTACTAGAAACTCGGACTTCATAGGACGTCATCAAAAGGCCTGAAGATGGGATTGTGCCCCTGTGAAAAAGAACAGTTTTTGAAAACCAGGTCTTCTAGTATGTTGCCGGAAGGCAAACACCAACATTTCAAAATAAACCAACATTTCCTTAACCAATGAGGAAAAAAGGCCTCATGGTATATTTTACTGAATATCATCAACCAGTCACATTTTAAATGATTTATGGACAGGTTCCTTTGTGTCAGATGATTATAACTAGTAAGATTTATCATATAAGGTCTCACTTGTATGCTAGAAGTAAAAAGAAAATTGCACATACTCTACCACCTTACTTATTGACTAAGTGTGTATTCTTAATTTGCTTTGTGACAAACACAGCTTCTCTTTCTTATGGAAATGGGTAGAGGAATGCGAGCACAGTGCTGTAGACAGTGGCACTGTCGGTGAGTAGGAGAGCCTCCTCAGTAATTTAGGTGAGAATTGTAACTTCCTGTACAAGTAAACAGTGAATTCTCTTGTGTTCGCCCAGTTTTCCACTCCTTCCTCTAGGTGGCTCATTTTTGCACCTGATGTAAGATGAAAAATACATTTTACAAGTAATAGGGGAATTTGATTTATCCAGTTTTAATCTTTTAAACTGCATCTCTTAAATCCCAATCCTACTTTTTTTTGTAACTGTAAAATTATACAGAATATAATAACCTTTTTTCTTGTTTTATTTAAAAAGTAATAATTAGGTCCATTAGAAAAAATTACAAATATGCATAAAAGTAGCTGGATTAATTTTCTAGTAGCTACAAAAAAGAAACGAATTTTGACAATTGTTATAATCTAATATACCTAAAATAATAGTATCAATATAAAAATTGAGTTTTTGCATTTTTCATACTAGGTCATCAAACTATATTTTACATTTACAGCACATCACAAGTTAGACTAACCACATTCCAAGTGCTCAATAACCAAATGCCAATAAAGTAAAATTCTAGGATAATTACAAAGTAAAATACTTCATAAAGGACAGGTGAACTAGATCTTGGTGAAATTATGGGCAGCAAGTATGAGATGTAGCAGTTGTTAAAATAAAAAATGCAATTATTGTTTTAATTTCCAGCATTTTTTAATGTACCTTTCCTAAAGATGGTAGTAAAAGCATTATAGTTTACTATTTTTTTACATGAAAGAAATTCTAAATTATATAATTTATTTTGGTTATTATTTGAGTGTGTTGTGTATTTTTTATATCTGTTCATATGTAGCTACACCCATGAGCCATTCATGCCAGACACAAATATGGCTGGTTCTAAAACACAGGGAAGTACAAACATTAAATAATTACTTACAGAAAAGGTACAGTCCTATTTTGATGAAGATTCTGTATTTCTATTTTGGTATAAAGTGTGCACATGGCAGGTCTTCACTTCTGTTCACAGATTAAAGATCCAAAAGTATCATCAGAGCTATATTTGTTAAAAATAAAAACCTCAGGAACCATACCTCATTCCTAAGTCCACCGTTAGGGGCCAGGATGAGAACAAAGAATATGGTTACCTTTCGGCTATTTTAAATAGGAAGGTTTGTGTAAAGATTTAAGCTCCAGAAATGATGGCTCCTTACCCACTGTGATGGTTAATTTTACGTGTCAATTAAGTACCCAGACAGCTGGGTAAAGCATTATTTCTGGGTATGTCTGTGAGGTTGTTTCCAGAAGAGATTGGCATTTGAATCAGTGAATATGGAAGATGTGCCCTCAGCCAACATGGGTGGGCACCATCTAAATTGTTGAGGGTCTAGATAGAACAAAAAGGCAGAGGAAAGGCAAAATGTGCCCTTTTTTCTGGAGCTAGAATCCCATCTTCTTCTGCCTATGGACATCAGAACTCTAAGTTCTCTGGCCTTAAGATCCCAGAACTTGCACCAGTGGCCCACAAAGTTCTCAGGCCTTTGCACTTGAACTCAGACATACAGCTCCCCTGGTTTTTAGGCCATTGGAATTGGACTGAGCTACACCACTGGCTTCCCTGGTTCTCCAGCTTGCAAACAGCATATCAAGGGACTTGATAACTCCCTCTGCCTTTATAACTCCATGAGCCAATTCTCATAATATATCCCCTCTCATATCTATATACCCTATTTGTTTTGTTTCTCCAGAGAGCCCTAATATACCCACCAAGTTCTTCCCCACCATAAACTCCTAATATACCCATATCCACAGTACTTCCTTTCAGGAGCCTTATCAGGGTAGATGGCTTACTGCTGACACCTGCTGTTGTGCAGACACTGCTGATTTGATCTACTTGTGAGGACAGAGCATTCTATAGCCAGCATCTACTCTTAACCCTAAGAAGTCCAGATTTTAGCACTTGGATCCTATTCCACCTTGAAAAAATCCTAAATATATTACTTGCTATGGTTTGAATGTTTTTCCTCTTCAAAACTTTTGAAATTTAATCCCCAGTGTGTCAATATCGAGAGGTGGGAGCTTGAAGAGGTGATTATGTCATGAGGGCTCAGCCTCGTGAATGATTTAATGGTTCATCATGGGAGTGGGACTGGTGGATTGATAAGAAGGGGAAGAGAGACCAGAGCTAGCAAATTCTGTCAGAAATAATTTATTTTCCTTTATAAGTTACCCAGTTTTGGATATTCAGTTATAAGCAACAAAAAAACATACATTACTAAATACCAAGTATGTGAGAATAGATATTCTCCATTCCCAACCATATCTACTAAAGGGCTCTAATTAGGTCCAAGGTCTGCAGGCATATTGATCAGAGATAAATCACTCAGAAAAAGATAAACTTTTTGTAGTTATATGGCTATTCAGTAGCCATCCTGCTTTGAAGAAGTCCTTTGCAATGAATGACAGAAAGTTTGAGTTTTCTAATCCGTCCAAGTTAATAATTCTATTTTAGTATTTGGAACCATTAATAGCCTTCCCTTTCAGTTTCTATAGAAGAGTCTTTAAAACACATGATTTTTCCTAGTGCCAGTCCAACTTGATAAGGAATTAGGTCCTATCCCTAATTAACTAACCCATTGCCTCACACTCTAAACCACAGAAGCGCCATTTTTCTTTCGAGATTTTCTGAAAGCTTCAATTACAACCACCTGAATAGTACAAATGGGGGATGGAACACTTCTTTCCCACCTGTATCTACTTTATAGGATGTTGTTAAGTTGTAATTAAGTTTGTTGAGATACAGATTTCCCCTCTGATTAATACTGTAGGAGAAGAAGAGGCATCAAGTTTCATTAGTAGAATAAAATGAGTTGTTAGTGAATTCGGGGAAGAAGGAAATGGAATAGACTTTGTAGAGAAGTAGACAAAAAATGGAAAAGGTAATTGCAGAAGGTATGCATTCTTGGAGCACAAAGTGAAGAGGCTAAGAACATAGCAAGAGTCTGACCAAATGGAATCAGTCTCAGTAAAGCATGCCCTGCACGTGAACCCCTCCTGGCCACCCTACCATGGTTCCCACCTTACGGTATACTTCTATTGCAATCAGAAAACCGTTATGCAGATGCAGAGGACAACAGAGATAGAGCTACACATGATCTATGTAACTCCTTGCAGAAAAGTCTAAAAAGGATGTGGGGGAAGTCATGAGGGAAAGAATTTGAATTATTTACAAAAAGGATAAAATGGAGCCTACTTCTTAGAGGAAACCAGATGAAATGAAGCATCTTGAATTTTTCTCTCTCCAGCTCTGGGTTGTCAGGGCAAATCAATCATACACTTGCAAGTTTATGCCTTCTCCCCTGTATTGCTCATTATCACGAATGGGTTCACGTTCACAGAGCCCTAGTGAGAAGTACTCACTGCCCTGGTTTGGGATCAGACCCTCCCAGCAGTCCAGCCTCTCACACTTAGCAGGGGCTCAGAACATTAAGCCTTTCTTTGTGCCCTGACTTGCTTCTACAAATATTAATACAACCCTCTCCTCCTGCCCATCCCCAGAGATCATATCTACTCTCATCGCACAACCACTTTTACCAGCAGAATAACAACCGTATGACATTGCTTGGATCTATAGCTCTAACCTTCTTCTCTCCTGAATGCTAGTCCCTATTTCCAATGTGTGCCAGAATAATCCATTTTTCTCCTAAAATGCAAAATGTTTACAGCCAGTTCCTTATTTTTCTCCTAAAACTAGGTGCCCACTCTCCTGTGACTCAACATCTCTGGTCAGCCAGTTTATTTTTGTTTTTTTGAGACAGAGTCTCGCTCTGTTGCCCGGGCTAGAGTGCCGTGGCGTCAGCCTAGCTCACAGCAACCTCAAACTCCTGGGCTCAAGCGATCCTTCTGCCTCAGCCTCCTGAGTAGCTAGGACTACAGGCATGTGCCACCATGCCCGGGTAATGTTTTCTACATATGTTTAGTTGGCCAATTAATTTCTTTCTATTTTTAGTAGACACAGGGGTCTCTTGCTCAGCCTGGTTGACCTTGAGCGATCCTCCCGCCTTGGCCTCCCAGAGTGCTAGGATTACAGGCGTGAGCCACCACGCCCGGCCAAGGTCAGCCAGTTTTAAGCTTCGAAGCATCCTTGACTTAGTTTCCGAAACATGGACTCATCAAACCTGTAGCGATTTCTTCAAAATAATGCACATACTTGACTGTCTCTCCATAGCCATAGCTACCAAAACAACTGAAGCCCTGGCACCGTCTCAGGTCTTGCTTTTTTAGTAAAGGCTTAACCGATTCTTCTACCCCAATACTGCCCTCACTCCAAATGGTTTGCAACAGCACTGCCAGGTGGTTCTTCCCAAACCTCTGCTTGACATGTCCCACCTGCCCACTTCCCTCTGTTGTTTTGAGGTGTGGATGCCAAGATACTTGCCCCAGCCTTCTTCTCCACACTCCAAACCAGACCTCTCGTCTCTTACATGCATCCTCCCTATATTAGTTTTCTGCTGATGCTGTAACAAGTTTCCACACACTTAACGCCTAAAAGCAACACAAATTTACCATCTTAACAGTTCTATAGGTCAGAAGTCCAGCACAATTCCTACTAGGCTAAAATTGAAGTCTCAGCAGGACTGCTCTTTTCTGGAGGCTCCAGGGGAGAAAATTTCCTTGCCTTTTCCAGCTTCTAGGGGACACTCGCATCCTTTGGCTTGTGGTTCCCTTCCGCCATCTTCATACCCAGCAACTTTGCCTCTCTCTGAGCGGTTCTTCTGTAGTCACGTCTCCTCTGATTTTAAACTCAATGTCTCTGATTTCAGTGGCCCACCCATGTGAGGCCCACCTGGAGAATTCACCCATGTGATTGGGCCCACCTGGAGAATTCAGAGTCCTTTTTCCATCTCCCCATCTC